GGAAGCTATTGATCAATGAGAGGTCCAGAAGATAACCAATTATTGGAAGGTACCATCGCTTTGATCTGGTGGGTAGCCTATTTATTTCCACCAGAGCGATTCTCACGTTTCGGGGTAGTTTTGGCGTCTCTGATTTGCCGAAAGTGAGAAATATCCAATTAAGTTTTTCTGATTATTGGGGTCCTGGATGATACTAGAGTTATGGCAATGGTATTTATAGTAAAGACCTTGTACTACCTTCCTAAAAACATGAGCCATAAGGTATTCCCACACGTTTTAGTGGGTGTTTTGATCACGGAAATTACGTTATCACGGAAGTTACAAAGTGTGAAAATCGGCTTTAACGGCTGACTCGGGCTTGCTGTGGCTTAAAAGTCGTTCCAGGGTCAAATGATACTCTAAGCCCGACATTTCAGCGGAAAATTTTTTCACCTAGTACTGCTGCAACATTGGGTAAAGGGTGCCACGGAAGTTACAGGTAATTGTTGATACACGCCATTTTATAATGCTCTAGCCCGCTTTGAGACCGTGTACAGCATCTTAGATTTCCGTGACCCATGCAATTATATCCCAGGGACTCCACTTTGATGGCTTGTGTCATGGAAAGTTAAAAGTTTGGCTTGGGGAGAAGTCCAGAGCTGCCTTTTCGAAATTAGTGTAGTGAAATTGAATACACGGAGGACATTTTTCGTTGCAGCATAAGTACCTTTGAAAGAAGTCTGGCGTGTTGGTCTTCGGTTGAAATTAGCTCGAGACATGCCAAGCTTCGAATCCCCATCGACAGTTGGCAGCATTTTCGAACCACACCGCCACACTGGGGGCGGAAAGTTCGAGTATGTTCTCTTTGGACAATCACGGAAGTTACATTTAGGGTATTCCAAACGCTACGTAGACCAATCCAACGAACGTGAACTTTTCGAAATGTGTGCGTTTAGTGGGCAATGGCCCTCCCTAACATCAGAAACAAACCCCATGTCGATATCTGCGCTCGTTTGGGCACAGGAGTCAGAAGAAAAGAAACTACCCCGTAACGTGAGAATCGCTCTCCATCATATCATGCTTGTCAACACCACCCATGTTTTTGTTGTACAAATCTATGACTTGAGGGCATGAAATCTCTTTCTTTGCTTTAGACTCATTGCAGTACCTAAGGGCACATAAATCAAACAATTAAAATGTGCATTTTAGAACATAGTACAGTTTTAAAAAAAAATGATTTTACCTTCTAACTTTTGTTTCAGGTTGAACTCCTACAGTTGTAGATGCAAGGCGCACAACTTTATTGTCTGCCCAATAGACGCAGGCAACACCTTTCTCACTCACTTTGACAACACTGGTTCCTCGTCCAGACTTCATCATATCTTTGTCAGAAGGCATCGGACATCTTCCAGTTCGGTCCTTGCGAATTGTGCCAGTCGACAAAATGTTCATTTTGTCTCGTAAGTAAGTAAGTAGAGGAAATCCAGTGAACCAGCTATCAAAGAAAACCATTGAAGTTTCTGGTTTTTTGATAGAATTGCACAAAGATATCACAGCCATGGCACCTACTCCCAGTTTCTTGACATCGTCAGGAAGATTGCAATGATCGAATGTTGTCTTGCCAGTATACATATTGAAATCATATACTATTCCTGAGGCCCCAGCCAGAGTGAAATTTTTAAATCCAAATTTGTGAGGCTTTCCCTTCACATATTGACGGAGTTTGCCAGCATAAACACCTTTGTAAGGAATCATAGTCTCATCAATAGAGAACAAGCTTTCCTGGGGAATTGCTCTCAATTTGGCTTTAATATTGTCTATTAGGTATCTTACACCGAAACATTTTTACAAAGAAAGAATCAGGCTTCTGGTGGACTTATGCCACTTTGTCAAATGACCAGTGTATGATTATCCCAAAAGAATTTGCCTTACCTTCAGATAAGTGAGTAGGAGAGTTATAATTATTACCAAATCCACACAACTCAACTTCAGTCCAATCAACATCACCAGCCATGGGAACGTGTTCTTTCTTCTGTTTGTCAAAGGTAAGGGAACGAGCTGCGGTCTGTTTCTCTGCTCGGGACTTGGATTGCCTCAGGATTGCTGAAACAAAATTCGACATTATAATACAAACTTGAAATCGTTTCAAAACTTCATGGACAGAGCCTCATTCCATTTCATCAGTTGTAATGGGTAAACAGAACACATTAGTGTGTTATCACAATATCAAACTTAACAATATTTACCACGTTTCACAGAATTTAGTTTTCTTGAGGGAGATGATGCATCCATTTCAGTCAACTTCAATTTAGAATTTCTTGTTTGTCTAGGACGTTTAGCCGGAGGTGAGTACATGGGAGACTTCATGGATGCAGGTGTGTTTTGGTTCCGCTCTTTGAGCACTGGTCTGACAGTATTCCTTTCTGAAATCACAGCTAAAAAGCATATTATAATTTTTCAGTATAGAATTAACTTGACATTTTTCATTCAGACAGCTTAAAGTTTACTCAGCCTACTTTACCTTTAATTGTTCCTGTATTTTTTTGAAGACCAGCAGCGTCAGCCTTGGCTGGAGCATCAACTGTAATTCTTCCACTGTCGTTTTCTAGCAGCACTTGTCTTGCTCTAGCGGGAGTGCTCTGAGGGTGTTCTGCTCCAAATTCATGTGAATAACAAGGAAATAAATAAATATTTGTAAGTAAATAATGTAAAAATAATCTATTCACCACAGTTTATAATTAAGTTGAATCAAATTCAAGCGTTACCTTTATTGCAAGTGGTTTTCATGGCATCACAATTTGCCTTCACCCTGCGAGCATTGAACGAACATGTAGATGGAGTAGAGTCCACAACAGATTGAGGTGAAAGAGGCTTAGCCAGTCTATTCTCATCCAAAGCTTTAGAGAACAGTTTCCGGACTGGTTTCTTACATGTGGAGACATCGGTCTCTACAGCAAGAGACTCGTCATCTGATGAACTGTTCACAATTGATGAGTAGTAAGAAACCTCTGGACACGGTGTAGGGAGATACGGTGGGGACACTCGGGCCCTCCGCCACGCGTCTAGGACGTTTAGCCGGAGGTGAGTACATGGGAGACTTCATGGATTCAGGTGTGTTTTGGTTCCGCTCTTTGAGCACTGGTCTGACAGTATTCCTTTCTGAAATCACAGCTAAAAAGCATATTATAATTTCTCAGTATAGAATTAACTTGACATTTTTCATTCAGACAGCTTAAAGTTTACTCAGCCTACTTTACCTTTAATTGTTCCTGTATTTTTTTGAAGACCAGCAGCGTCAGCCTTGGCTGGAGCATCAACTGTAATTCTTCCACTGTCGTTTTCTAGCAGCACTTGACTTGCTCTAGCGGGAGTGCTCTGAGGGTGTTCTGCTCCAAATTCATGTGAATAACAAGGAAATAAATAAATATTAGTAAGTAAATAATGTAAAAATAATCTATTCACCACAGTTTGTATTTGTATTTGTATTTCGAGATCAGCAGTGTTTGACAGCACTATCATTCGTCAGTGTTGAAAATAAGATTGGCGACGCAAAGATTCTCCCGCGCGCCCCTGGTGGCCGCTTCGCGAAGCTCCCTAAAGGCTATACTGGGCACCGGCTTGCATGGCGATTAGCCGCGATGGATCATCAATACGCTAATGACGAGTCCCGTGGCTTGAAACGGAAGAAAGGAACCACTTATTGTTGTGTGCCACAGTGTTCACAATACGCCTCGGAAGGAATAAGCTTTCATTTATTCCCAAGGGAAAAAAACCAAAGGAAGAAATGGGAGTCAGCCCTCCGAATGGGCAAGCCAGCCTCGGATACTATGCGTGTTTGTTCGAAGCATTTCAGCTCTAAAGACTTCTTTCCCAGCTGTAAGTATCTGTAAGAATGTAATGTGGACCCTTATTAACCGTTCTATTCACTGGTTGTGGCATGTCACTTGCATAATACTGTGAAATTCGTTGTTTTGTTTATTGGTCTTTCGGGGTTATGTAAACTTTGTTTACCTTGCTGTTCTCTTTCAGCTAATTCTACCCAGAGAAAGAAATTGTTTCCTAAGGCAGTCCCATCTCAAAATCTGCCCCAACGAACTCATGACAAAGGTGTGACTTCAGATGAGGCTGAAAAACGTTCAGCCAGAGCAGGAAGAATTGCTAAGAGGGATGCTGCATCTCTAAGGTTTGTCTATTGTTTACACTAATTTAAATCAATAATAACATTGAAAGTATATTAAATGACAAATATTAGTTGTGTTCAAGATTGAAATTTATAAATTTCCATTATGTTCAGGTGCCCAGTCAACACTGAGACTGATAACGACACTAACGACACTCAACTGATGATGTAGAATTTGATGAAGAAATCCCCTGTCTTCGAAGCATTCTGGATTGTGCTGTTCAAGCAAATCTTGCTGACACAAGAAGTATTCGTCCTTGCTGTGAAGGTGTTACTCTGGCTGACATTCTAAGTGACTTAGATACTGGAGAGAAGTGCACTCAAGTCAACTTTTTGCCATTATGGAAAGATGAAGATGACAGCAAATCAGTTCCCTGCATTACTTTACCACAACTTCTGTGTACCAAAGAGAAACTGTTTACCTTCACTGGTCTCCATTCGCCTGATATGCTGGAGTGTTTAGCAAAATGTGTGGCAGATATAGCTGTAGATTCTCGAAGCAACAAGAAAATATTATCTGTTAGAGATAGAATTATTTTAACTATGGTAAAAATCAAGCAAAATATGGATTTCACTGCTATAGGTGTTCTATTTGGTATTAATCGTCAAACATGCTCTAATTATTTCAAGAATATGAGTCCGCTTCTTGCTAGAGTATTGAAAGTAGTGATACCGTGGCCGGACCAGAGCATGATAAGGTGTAACCTTCCCCTCTCTTTTGATAAATTTAGAAACACAAGAATTATACTTGATTGTTGTGAAGTAACCATTGAGAAATGTAAATGCTTAAAATGCAGAGTGTTAACATACTCCCAATACAAAAAAAAACCACACTGTCAAGTTTAACATGGGAGTAGCACCTTCAGGACTCATAATTGAAACAAGCTCTGCTTTTGGTGGCCGAGCTTCAGACAAGCACATTGTCGCTGATTCAGAAATATTGAACAGGCTTGATTATGGAGATGCTGTCATGGTGGACAAGGGCTACCAAATAGAGAAGGAATGTCTTGAGGTAAGCTTCATATTATTGAATTTAACTGTAAATTGCAAAAAATGTTTGTCTTATTTTATTTTCTTTGCCTTTTAGAGAAATTTGACTTTGTATCGACCACCATTCTTGACCCAAAAGAAACAACTAAGTCGAGAAGAAGCTTTGTCCTGTGCTGAGATAGCTAGGGCAAGAGTGCATGTCGAGAGAGTTTTCCAGCGGATTCGAGAGTTTGATTTCCTTCGTGGGCCAGTACCTTGGCCTCGGGCCCCCCTACTTTGAAGATGTCTTAACTGTTACTATGGGTCTGCCCAATATAGGCCCACCAGTTATTAATATTGATAAGTTTATGTAAGTGTCTTCTGTTTTAATAAGAGGGACAGTTTCAATGTGTCAGACATTTTAATTGAAGTCAAGCAAATTTAAAAAACGAGCTTATAAAAAAATTGTTTTCTTAATGTCAGAAATTAAAAAAATTGTTGCACATGCCCAACATGAATTCACATACCTAATCATTAACAGTTTGATTAGACAGGTGGTCTTTTACCATCCTAGGTAAAAACTTATCAAAGTAAACATGGACAAGCCTTGAAAAGAGGTCTAACACATGTTTTTCATCAAAAGGAACTCTGACATAATGTGAATCTTTTCCAATTTCTGAGTAGACAACATATTCACACATATCTACCCCTGTGACCAACATACCTATCTGCATTTGGGCATAATGCTGGGTTTTCACCTTTACATTTCCATTCTCATCTAAGGTTTTAATACAATTATATTCCACAAGCTCCTGTGCATTGAGATGTTGACCTTCTTTAAATGTTTTAATTTCTATAGTGTTCAAAAACTTTCCTGTCTCATCCATTACAGTTCCATCAACACTAGCCCCGAACCAGGGTATTTCTGGTCTCACCAAAAGACCAGTCTCAAAAACTTTGCATCTACGTTGCTCTTCATAAAGGTCTCTTGCTAAAATTTCACAACGAAGTCCTGCAACTGTGTATTCATTTCCCTTGAATGTACTGTGGTACAACTCATTGTATCTTGCGTCCCAATCAGCTTTCTTGTTGACATAGTAGGTATACTGGGCTCTAGCTTTGCTTGCACTGATTCGAACACTGCGGTGCTTATGCCAAGCTGCTGTGCCCTGGGGTGTGTTGGCAAGTTCGACACACTCCTGGAGGTTTACTTTCACAAACTCTTCGTAAAACTGAAGTAGGTTTGGGGCTAAGCAGTCAAGCTTCTGTTGCGTCAGCTGTCTCACAGCTGATACAACCCGCCAAGTGCGGAATGTCAGCAGCCTTTTAATGGTAACTTTAATCTCCTCTTTGCGGCTTGCTGCATCCTGCGGGCAGCATGCTACTCCTGACCCTTGCCTCAGACAACTCGTGAAAAGGGAAAATTCACTGAGAACTGCACCTACAATGCACACAATAAGACACAAGAAATAAACATGAATTTGTTTATTTATAAAATACTTCAGCAACAGTTGTTAATAAACAAATCACAACACATACACAAAAGTGATTGACACAAAATAATTTCAAGGCTCAGACAGCCCACTCATAAAAGGTACAGTTCATTACAATACTATGACTTTCTCAAATAACAGAGAGAAGAAATCAAAAGAAAAAAAATTAAGTGCATTGATGGCTTGTAAAGAAAAACCAAATTTCATTTAGGCAAAAAGTGCCAAAAAGTAAATTATAATAACAGGAAAAGTAGCGATATACATCGGCAACTTTGGCCCGTCCCGCACGTTAAGAAACGTACGAATTTCGCCTATGTTTGACCCTGACGGGAATTAAATCTGAGTCTGGGGTTAAAATAAATGTCGTTTTCGTCATCAGCAGCCTCAAAAATGTCAGAAACAATGCAAAAACTCGAATAAAAAGAATGTTCCGAAAATACTCCGCTGGGATTTGAACCTGGGTCCGAACTTCTCCAATTCGCTCGAAACTGGCACCATTGGTTTTCTCTCGTCGCCCCGATTCCAAAAATACCCCTACATGCCCTCCTAGCCGCATCCGTTGCCGAGATCCTCCTCGACCCCATGTAGACCATGATGCACCTGCAGCAGCGCCCCCGGGGCTCGGATCGGATTTGCTGCCACCGGGCGGTTCTTAGGGCCACCCAAGGAGGCTGCATACCAAATTTGATCAAGATCGGACCACGGGAAGTCCTCGGACGGACGGACGGACGGACGGACGGACGGACGGACGGACGAACGGACGCACAGCAGGGGATCATACTATATGCCCGTCCCTCCGTCATTTTTTTACAAAAAATAAACGGGACGGGCCAAAAACGGTATAAAAAAATGGAAAAAAAATCACGAGAATTTCTTACAGTTGGTCAGTGCTTCCTTCCACCTCTCTTCCATTTCTTTGGTGACCTCTGGCATGTTAGAAACATATACATCCCTCTTCGCTTTCACATGGCACAACTCGGTGAGTTTTTTCGCCTCGTATTCCTGAAGGGGTGCTGCCTTCAGAGAACCCCACTGCTGCTCAATGTCGGTGCAACTTAGGTCATCTAAGTCAGACTCTTCAACCCTAAAAAAAGAACAGTCCAAATATTATTTCCACTCCCTTGGGTACTTAAACTTGGTCAAAATAGAGCCGAATGCAGCGCTGGTAAGGTTACCTTGACAGGTACAGAAGCACTGCAATAATATGTTTGCACTTCTCGGAAGCTCCAGCCGGGCATTGACATTCAGGCGAGGAGTCTTTGGTAACACGCTGGCCAGGTGGTTTTGACAAATCAACCCAGATTTCAATAACATACGGAGTTTTGGTGGTAACTCCGGTAGTGCGAAGGACTAGAGCCTGGATGTGTAGTTCGTCATCATTTTTGGCTTTTATACCAATTGCGACAACAAACCCGGCCTGTAGCACTTGTTCGCCTTCGCGTATAGGTCTCTCAAAACCTATCGACGCATTAACAGCGTCTAACACCGATAAAATCATGCTGGATTGTAGTATTGACAACGATTACCCTACACACGCCGTGTAAACAGATCCCATGGATAGCCTTTAGAGAGCTTCGCGGAGCGGCCACCAGGGGCGCGCGGGAGATCTTTGCGTCGCCAATAAGCAGCATCAGACAGAAATGTTAACAGTTTTTTTTTTTCTTTTACATACTACAGCGTTGGAAAACTATAGGGTTCTGCTTCAATTAAATACTTTTTGAGCCACTTTCTGAAAATTTTTGGTCTATTCTTTAGCTCTTTTAATTCCGTGGGCAACTCATTAAACAACAATGTTCCAGAGTAGGAGGGATGAAGCTTTCCAAAACTGCCTCTTAAAACCATATGGTAGTAGTTGTCCTTGTTTCGAGTATTATGCTCGTGTACATCGCAATTTAAGGGGTTTTCAGTTTTTTCTACAACATATAAGATTGATTGCATGATGTACAGGCCAGGTTAAGTTAGAAGGCCTTTTTCCTTGAATACACCCCTACACGACTCCCCATATGGCTTTTTGAGTATAATTCTTAGGGCTGCTTTCTGTAATCTGAACAATTTCATCTTGGAGCCATTGCAGGCTGTCCCCCATAAGAACAGACCATAACTTAGGTGGCTAAGGACAAGTGCAAAATATGCTTTAAGCATGGTTGATTGTGAGACACATTGGGCAGGCTGTTTATAATTAAGTTTTATTTTAATTAAGTATAAAATAAGTTTATAATTAAGTTGAATCAAATTCAAGCGTTACCTTTAATGCAAGTGGTTTTCATGGCATCACAATTTGCCTTCACCCTGCGAGCATTGAACGAACATGTAGATGGAGTAGAGTCCACAACAGATTGAGGTGAAAGAGGCTTAGCCAGTCTATTCTCATCCAAAGCTTTAGAGAACAGTTTCCGGACTGGTTTCTTACATGTGGAGACATCGGTCTCTACAGCAAGAGACTCGTCATCTGATGAACTGTTCACAATTGATGAGTAGTAAGAAACCTCTGGACACGGTGTAGGGAGATACGGTGGGGACACTCGGGCCCTCCGCCACGCGGCCGAGTGAAGCTCGTTTTTGGCCCGTTTCGTAGTTCCGAACGCTCCGCTAGTAGCGCTGTTCTCCAAGTGGGCCGAGGTGGAGGGGGAAGTGGGCCGGCTCACTATTGGCTGGCCGCTGGCGGCGGTGCGCGGCGGTGAGCGGCGGTGAGCGGCGGTGCGCGGTAGCCAGCCGCCAGCCAATAGTGAGCCGGCCCTCTTCCCCCACCACCTCGGCCCACATGGGGAACAGCGCATCCTGGCGGAGCGTTTGGAACTACGGAACGTCCAGAAACGGGCTTCACTCCGCAGCGCCTAGTGTCCCCACAGTATCTCCCTACACCGTGCCTCTGGAGAAGATATGCTGGCATCTAACAAGCCAACATCGTCTGAATCCACTTCACGCTCAGATGTAGAATCACTTTCTGAAACAAGTCACAAAACAAAATTAATTTGTATGTGTCAGTTGTAAAGTCTGGTGTAATCAACCTTTGCTTGTCTACATGAAAAATAAAATTTACATTTCAGCTACTACATTTATTATAATTTTACCTTGAATTGAACCATGTTTCTTCTTGAGAGTTGCAGACTGATGTTGACCACTGCTGCCAAGGCCAAGCCCTAATTGAGGTTTGTCTGCTGCTTTGAGGAAAGTGGCTACTTCACGAGTAGATGTTGAGCGACTTTCTAAAACATAAGCCACAAACAAGAATTATTTCATAATGGTTGGGCTCATTGTATTAAACTTAACTTGGTCTAAATTTGCAATGAATAATACATTAATATTTCAGTCGAGGGGGTATGCGCTCTCTGAACCTGTGTACCGACTATTACGCTATTACGCTCTATTACGCTACAAATTAATCGAAAGCTAAAAACGGCCTAAAACACACCAAAATTGATAAAATTTTGACAATTTCGGCTATTACGCGACTATTACGCGACGATTACGCGTATTATTACGCGTGCTATTACAGATAGAGTGAACCGACTATTACGCGAGTGCATACCCCCTCGATTTCAGTTGAAATATTTACTAATTACTGTACCTTCTCTAGTATCATTTTTCTTTTCAAGAACTGCAGACTGATCTTGACCATTGACGCTAAGTCCAAGCCTTGGACGGGTTATCTGCTGCTTTGAGCATAACAGCTTCTTCCAACTAAACTTCACGATGAGATGTTGTTTGACTTTCTGAAAGAAAACATACAAACCAGAATTATATCATTTATGTAAGTTGGCGTTAGGTTATACACTTTAGGTGGTCTAAATTTACAATGAACAATAAATGGAAATCTCAGTTAGAATATTGACGAATCACTGCACCTTGTCCTGTATCATTTTTCTTTTGAAGAGTTTTAGAATGAGGTTGAGAATCGAAGCCCACTCCAAGCCTTGAACGGGGCTTTCTTGATGCCAGGCTTGAACGGCCAGAAGCTGTTTGGACATGGCATCAAACCGTACAGTATAAATGGTCTGTTGCAAGACTTTGCAAAGAAAACACCACACAATTACCTTTTGGAAATTGATGATTGCCAAAAGTTGCATAGCGATCAACTATGGGGACTGCACTGATCTTCCTCCTTGTTTGCCTACATTTCTTTGTAGGTGGTGAATGACTTTCTTCTCCGGACGATTCAGATTCAGTTGGAGGGATAACTTTGTCGGATATAAATGGAGAGTGAGAAAATCTTGTCTCACCTCTGTCTGAATCATCGGTCAAGTCATCATTATCATCATCCTCTGAGACGGCACCATTTGAGGGGAAGCATATCCTTGTGTCCGATGACTTTTTAGCATAAAATTTACAAGCCCTTATGCCTGCCATTGTGTTGATGCTGAAACAAACATTAGCAAGTTGTAGAATTAAAAACTTACAGACAAAACATGGTAAAAATAACATTTGGTTGTTAGTGAAGAGACACAGGAAGACACTTCGGTCACAAAACAACGAGAAAGTTGAAAATGATTGGGATTTGTGCCAATACTGGAGGCTGAACACAATGAACCTCTAACTGCGGCTCAATGAACCAACAGATACTAAAAGAAAACCTGTTATACATTTTAGCAGATAACCATTGAGTTTGTCACCACTTTGTCAATACACGTTGTCAAAACAAAGGTTCTTGCTTACTAAATGGCTTTCCATTTGGACGGAAAACATTACTAAATTTCAAAGTTATTGGGTAAAATTTTAAATCATATTTGCCATTATCTCTTTTGATTGGACTTAGACTAAGATAATTTAATAGAATTCAGTGTCAGGAATCTATCAAACAGAGAACATAAGTAACCATCAAGTTCGGTTCTTTGACATATCGTAAGTCAGGCACTCTCAAATATTAGGTTTATCAAAATAAATGCACTTGTTCTGAATGTTCTCACATTGGTATGTTTTAGCAAGCAATCCAAGGCCAACTCATTGAAATCAACAAACCTGACAGACACAGATATAAAGAAAAACAACCCAAAAATGCCTTGGTTCTAACACAGAATGTCCCTTGAGTAGGACACATCAAAAGGCGACATTCAATCATAAAGAAGCCCACATAAACATTTGGGAAGGTTCTGTGGTAAAAATAAGTTACTCCCGTCTCAGAAAGGCATTGAGAGTCCGAGCAAATACACAAAAAACAACGCGAAAGGAAATCAACACTTTTAGGGGTTATGAGGTTATGTGCGACGCATATACAAGTCTTGTCGGTACTCAAACTTACAAGACCACTGAAATATCGTTTGATATCGATAGTAAAATGAGAAATTGAACAATGCAAGCCAGAATCAGCTTTTATCTAGGCTTGCAATATATAAGCAGTTTCTGAACACTAAAGTCACTTTGTCCCGTGGAAAGGACTATCGAAAACAGACAGTCGCGCAGCACGAACGGCCATGATTTTTTCAAAGAAATGATAGTCAAATGAAAGAATGACACTTTCCTAACAAGATTGAACAATGTTGACACCAAAATATACTCACCGCCCCGAACTGCGGTCCCACAAACAAACACCAGCAACCGACGAAACGCGGGAGGCTATGCAGGTTTTACGAGCGGGCCCTCTGTAGCCTCGCGCGAGGTACTTCCGGCCCGGGACTTTCAAATTAGACACAGCACACCTCAGACTTCGATTTCCAACCAAGTTCGATGGAATAAAACGCGTTTGGAGGTGGATTATGAGTAAAATGAGGGAACGTCATTCTGAAGGGACGCAATGACGTAAAGGGTTTCAATTTGGAGGACATTTTTGTAGATAGACATTTAAACCTTATGGAAATTTTTTGGTCGTGGACCTATTGGATCATGGACATTATTTCTCTGGACCTTATATGGTGGAATGCAGGACGCATCAAGTTGGAAGTAACCGACGATGGACAAGCCATTGCCTGCCGCAGGCCAAGGTAGGTAGGTACGTCAGGTGCGGATTGGAGAAACAGGCAGCGAGACATCGCGTGTCATCTCTCACTCTTAAAACCTTACGTTACGAAGTATTTTGAGCGTACATATAACAAACTAAAATAATTTGTTATACGAAGAAATAGTTCGTAAATAACGAAGTATCTTCTTTGTAAGCTTATGTATGCTCTAAATACTTTGTTATACAAACTACTTTTCTTTGTGAGTAAGGCCCAAAATAGTTCGTAAGGTTTTTTCAGTGCTGAGAAGACAAAGAGACATGCATCTCATCGCACATCCGTGCGCTGTGGGTTGCCTGTGGGCAGGGCGCTGCGCCGCTCAGAGCTCTTCTGTGAGCCGTTCCGCTGGCCGAGCGCCGAGCAACGAGGCTCCCCTTCACACTTGCGGGGGGCGCGGCTTGGGGCTGGGTGCAGGGCCCCTCTCATGCCCCTCGCGACAGTCGCTTGTCTTTCCCCACGACGTTCGGCCTTGACCGTAGCCCACTGAGCGCGCTTTCATCGGTCGCGTCCCCTCCGGCTCTTTGTTTCCCTTGCTCGAGGTTCCCAGCCCCGTTATTCACAGTTCTGGCCTGTCCATCCCACACGACTGTGTTGTTTACTGACGCTTGTCTGCTTGGCTTTCACTGAGGCACTGCGAACGCGTTCGTCGCGACTTCGATGCTTCGGTGACGCGAAAGAAGAACGTAGGTGCCGTTCTCGGCAATCAGCACGGAAAAACCAAACGTGGTCCAGACCGCACCACCGGTGTGGTCAGATGGGTGCCATTTTGATCACATCAGTTGGTGTGGTCTCCACGTTTGGTGCGGTCTACCTTCCCTTACCCCGCCCTCCCTCCCTCCTCCCCCTTCCCTTGCCAGTCCGAGATCTGCAACCCCCTTTGTTCATCTTTTGGGGATGTAATCTGTTGCTTTTGACGAATTGATTCCCAATTCTTCATTGGTAGTTCATAAGCAGCTCTTCACTGGTACGCCCAAGTGCTGACCTAGCATGACAATCTTTGCTTGAATCGGTCTGAAGCCAAATTATGAGTAACTCCACCTCAAGTGGACCGAGATCTGGGATTGGGTCACGGATTCGGTTCAAAATTTGTGGGTTCAATAGATACCACTAGGACCTATCAACCCTTAAAGGAAAGTTGGCTAGCTCAAATAGAACCTGAGATATTTGCATTTTTCTAAATTTGACTAATTTAGCGTCGCTTTCTGATTTCTTTGTGGTAAAAGTTGTTCGCTTAGTTCTGGCTTATTGTTCTTCTTTCTAGTCATAATAAAAGAAGGAAAATGGTGGTTGGCCAAGTTTTGTACGTTGCTTGGTTTGGCCTAATCGAGCAATTTTGTCGAATTCATCGAAACTCTTATACCCAAAATACTCCACCTCTGGTTTGACCCTGGTACGTCTCATTTCACTTCTTTTACTCCAACAAACAATTCCTATATAGGGGATCATGCACATACCACGTGACCCAAAAAAGGCCACTTTTGAACCCCTCCCTCCCCCCTTGTGACCCTCTGTGACTCTTCCACGACCCCTCCCCCAAAAGTCACGTGGTAATTTTGGAATTTGATAATTGCTTTTTAGTAAGACTGCCTCGCCAACATTGTCGTCTTTTCATTGTTTCTTGGCTTGCGTAAGATTCGGGCGTGAAAAAGAAAGCTTTACCACAGCTGGACAGGACTTGAAAGGATCACACTAAATGACTATGTAGGTTTTCATGCGCACCCGCGTACGGAATTAAACATGCATGCAGAAATTCGTGTAATGTTACGCACAAATTTACGCGCAACGTAACGCATGTTTAATGTTTAATTTCGTACGTTGCGTATGCATAAAAACCAACATAGTGAGTGTGTTAATAAATTACTGTTGTTGCTAGCACACTGAAAACCTTGCAAGAAATCTGACTTGTTTGTAATAGAAAGATTGTTTTTGGCATAACTAATCGTTTGTTAGCTCTTGGCAAACCTCGTGTCCGTAATTTGCAAAGAACGTGTTTGCTTTATGAACTGTATTATTTGAAGGCTTGCTCGCAAAATTACGAATGCACAGTTCTTCGCAAGCTAAAAACTGAGCGGTTTGTAAAGTGAATTACACATTCCTCGGCAAAAGTGTGCTGTAGCAACTGTCATTTTAATTCAAGTGTCACAATCTTTAATTTTACAAACAATGTGCAGTGCAGTCTGTTTTGTTCAGAAATATTCATGTCACGTGACTTCTTGGCAACCCCCCGTCCCCCCTTGTGACTTGCCGTGACTTTTTCGAAACCCCTCCCTCCCCCTAAATAGGTCACGTGGTATGTGCACGACCCCTAGTCCCTAGCATTGTGAGTGGTTCCAAGCCAAGTGGTTTAAGTGGTTGAACTTACACGTTGCAAACAATCTACATAAATGGATCATTACTTGCTAATGCGTTGAAATCATAAGTCCAACAACCCCATTCCAAATCAGGGGATTTACACTGATTACAAGGTAGGTGTACCCCAGACCGTGTCTTGTCGTAACAGGCTTCGCGATGCTGCGCCAGTTACGACAATCCACGCCTGGCGTTACACCTACCTTGGCCTGCGGCGCTTGCCTGCCTTCGGCAGGCTAGGTTTCTTTTCCAGGCATCCGCACACCAATTTGCGTGATTGAAGGTCAAACCAGCATTTGATTTCGTGCCTGAGGCTGCATTGGCCTGACTTTTTAACTTGTCGAGGCTGGGAGGCTAGACCCCCCATTGGCCTGACTTTTTAACTTGTCGAGGCTGGGGGGCCCCGCCCACCAGACCCCCCTTTCTTCAAGACAGAAGTGATCTGCCTGCAGAAAACTCGATTTTTCGCCGTTTTTAGGTGTTTTTCGGCTATAAAAACCGAACCAGTTGAGCTAGGATAGTGAAATTTCGCGTGTGCTGAGCCAAGGACATACCCAAAAAGTGTGCAAAATCTCACCGAGATCGGCCGAGCCGTTCAGGAGGAGTAGCGCGGACACACACACACACGCACGCAGACAGGAAAAATTTTTCAACCCCACCTGAGTAACAGATCAACAAATCAACTTTTGGCTGAAGCATTACATTTTCTTCTGATTGAAATTCCTCACACCCCTCGTAAACTTGTAAAATTTGCTCGAAACAATTTAGTTTTAATTTTTTAGTGCACCTTGAGTTTAGGTTTTTTTCTTAGTGTTGATTCTATATAAATTGAGTGCACGGAGGATCTTTCCTATTACCCAGGGTCATGTAGAAGCCCCAATCTTGACAATTACAACAAAAATTGGTCAAAGTAAAA